TTTGCACCGACCGAGCTCTTCCAAGACAGAAAACGAACCAGAACCACCTGAGATTGCATCAGAAGGTGTACACCATAGCATAGCAGACGTCCCAAAATCAAATATATCGCTTGCTGTAGTACCAGCTCGGATTCGGGGACCCGAAGGAGACGTCGTTGTCAATGCCTTTTTGGACAACGGTGCTAGTACGACCCTGATCCATAGTTCACTTCTGCCGAAACTGGGATTGAAAGGTACACCTGCGTCATTAATTATTAAAACTATCACTGGAGAGTGTGTCACAAGATCTGCATCAGTTTCGTTCTCCATAGAATCGCTCGATTCTGAGGAAGTAATACCAGTTCATCGCGCTTGGGTTGTCGACTCCATGCCCTGCTTACGATCACTCGCGCCACGTCCCAAACAGTCCCAGAAGTGGAAGCATTTAAAGGAAGTACCGTTTCCAGAATTGAAACCAGTGGACATAGGTCTTCTTATCGGTTGTGACGTCCCAAAGGCACACTGGGTTCTAGAGCAGAGGTTCGGGGGCCCCCAAGATCCTTACGCAGTAAGAGGACCGTTGGGATGGACAGTTCTGGGGCCTTTATACTCAAATCCCAATAACAACCAGAGCGAGGCAATTTTCCATCACATCAGTCAAACGGACGACTTAAATTTACAGCTCGAACGTATGTTCAACTTCGAATTTCTCGAAGCTGCCTGTACCAAGCGAGCAATGTCGCTGAATGATCGAGTGACCTATGACCGAATGCTTACGTCTTTGGAAATAGTGGACGGACACTATCAAATACCCTTACCTTGGAAGGAAGGATCCCCGTGTCTACCAGACAACAAAAGCTTGGCACTCAGAAGACTTTTTGTTTTAAAGGGTCGTCTTGAACGTGACCCTATATTTAGGAAACTCTACTGTGAAAAGGTAGAAGAGTATGTAAGTAAAGGCTATGCAGAAATCGTACCTGACAGTGAGCAAAATAAAGCTGGCCCAAGTGTATGGTACCTACCTCACCATGGCGTGTTCAAAGCAGGAGACAGAAGCAAAGTTCGCGTTGTTTTTGACTGTGCTGCAAAAACTTTAAATACCTCCCTGAATATGCAGCTGCTTACTGGTCCAGATCTGGTGAATAGTTTATGTGGCGTCCTTCTAAGATTTCGGGAACACCCTTACGTGTTGGTCGCAGATATTGAGGCGATGTTCCATCAAGTTAAAGTCCCACAATCCGATCGGGATGCACTACGTTTTCTTTGGTGGACCAACGGTGAGCTTTCCAACCGACCGATTTCTTACCGCATGACTGTTCATCCGTTTGGAGCAACTTCATCGCCCTGTTGCGCTAGCTTAGCTCTCAGGCAGACTGTTAAAACCTTCATGACCCCCTACGGAGGGGAAGCGGTAAGATTAGCCAATCGATCCTTCTACGTCGATGATTGTCTGATCAGTTTGCCCACGAAAGTAGCGGTAAAGACTACAGCCACGCAATTCAAGGAGGCCTTAGCATCTGGTGGATTTAATCTTACAGGTTTCTTCAGTAATGTGGAAGAAGCATTGTGTGACTTACCCGAAGCGATATCTACTACTACACCACTTCATATAGATCGTCAACCAGACTACGTAAGGAGAACGTTAGGCGTGTTATGGGAAAATACGACTGATTGTTTCTGTTTCAAGGTTGAAAGCTGGAATAGTATCCCCACTCGTCGGGCTTTACTGTCTTACGTAGCTTCATTGTTTGACCCTCTGGGGATGGTTGCACCAGTACTACTGCCAGCAAAGTGCCTGATTCAGGATCTCTGTCGAAGGAAGGCTGCCTGGGACGATATTATGCCTGAGAATGAAACGTTGAAATGGAAGACCTGGTTGCTGAATTTACAAAATGTAGAAAGCATTCGCATACCAAGGTGTATCCGACCCAAATCATTTGCTTCGGATTGTAGGACTGAGTTGCACGCATTTTCTGATGCTTCAGAGACCGGCTATGGTGCTGCGATCTACATCCGACTGATCGACCCGCCGAGAATACCCCACTCCACACTATTGATAGGAAGGTCCAGGGTTGCCCCCATCAAGTACACAAGCATACCACGATTGGAGCTCACTGCTGCTGTATTGTCTGCCAAGCTAACTGCTTGGAGAAGAACAGAACTGTCTATTAAAGTAGATTCCTCTTTTCTGTGGACAGATTCTATGATTGTGTTACAAATGATACGTAACCGAACTATATGAAACCTTCCCCGACTAGCGTCCATTCTTGATTATCCGGAACCTCAAGATTGGATGTACGTCGAAAGCAAATGCAACCCTGCAGATATAGCTTCCCGTGGTCTACTATCCGACACGTCCAAATTGTCCTTGTGATTATCTGGCCCTGAATTTTTGAGAAAAGATTGCAACGAGTGGCCCTCTCAACCGGTTAGCTATCCTGTTCCTGTTGCGGATGTAAAGTCAAAGGAAACTGAGGTGGTACATACGACCTCCACTTATGTATACTGGATTGATCGTTTTGAGCACGTGTCCAGTTGGAGTCTGCTAAAGAGGCTAGTGGCGTGGCTGCGCCGTTTCTGCCTATGGATGAGACGCAGAAGATCTGTGCTGCCCGGAGACGAGTTGCGTGGTAGACTGACCAGAAAGGATTTGGTGGAGGCGGAATGTCTTATCCTTAGGTCGGTTCAAACAGCTTGTTTCACAAACGAAATGAAACTACTGAAATCCACAGTATCTTCTAACGCTTGGAGGCCCCTGCGATTACCGGGTCAACTACGACGACTCTCCCCAATTATCCACCAAGGTATTTTACGTGTTGGGGGACGCCTTAGATGGGCTCCAGTGCCTTTCGATATGAGACATCCAGTAATTCTCCCAAGTCATCATTTCGTAATCAGGCTCCTCGTCCAGCATACCCATGTACTGAACGGCCATGTTGAAACTTTGCATGTCCTTAATGCGCTACGAGAAAAATATGGGGTTAACAAAGGTCAAGCAGTCGTTCGGAGTGTTCTACATTCTTGTTTTCACTGCAAACGCTGGCATTCTCAACCTGAAGTACAAATTATGGCTCCAATTCCTGAGGATAGAATGCTGACTCATGAAGCACCTTTCGCAGCGACTGGTATTGATTACTTCGGACCTTTGTT